TCTCGCTCTGCCACCCAGGCTGGAGTGCAGTGCTGTGATCTTGGCTCCCTGTAGCCTCTGCCTCCCAGGTTCAAGTGATTCTCCTGACTCAGCCTCCCATGTAGCTGGGATTACAGGCATGTCACCACACTTAGCTAATTTTGGTTTTTTAGTAGAGATGGGGTTTCACCATGTTGGCCAGGCTAGCCTCAAACTCCTGACCTCAGGTGATCCACCCACCTCGGCCTCCCAAAGTGCTGGGATTACAGGCGTGAGCCACCACACCTGGTCCTGACCACTGCAACTTCTGGGGGCACCTCCTTCCTCTGCCTGCCCTCATGGGTCCAAGCAATTTGCTCAGCCCACAAAGCTGCCCTTCTTCTGTTCTTCAGGGCTGGCTAAGCTCTAGGAAGTCAGAACTAGGTTCAAATCCCACCCTACCCTTCCCAGACGTGCAGTCGCCGACGGGATGCTTGCTCACTCCCACTCCCATCCACCTGCTCACTGAAGCCACCGGGCCTCTCCAGGCCCAGTGCCTTCCTCCTCCCTCTGCGATCAGATCTGACTCATCCCTCACTAAGGAAGAAATCCTCCACTGGGAAGCCTGCCCAGAATTGAGCCCAGGATTCAGCCAGATGCCTCCCCTGTAGGAATAACAGCAGAGCAGCCAGCATTTCCTGAGATGAAACACAGCATGGGACCCCCTCTCCATCAAATCCCGGGGCCCATTCTGAATTGGAATCTCAGGAGGCTGACAGGCTCCAGCTCTTCCTCCACCTCTCTGAGCGTGTGCAGGGGACAGTGGAGCAGGTCTCTCACTGGACAAGTGGCACAGCCAAGGAGGGGTGCTGGCAGGAGCCGATGAGGCACAGCTGGCAGCAGGAGGAGTGCGCTGTTGGGGGCCCTTGTCTTTTCCAGCTATGGTCCCAGTGTGGTTCACAGCAGGTCCCCAAGGCTGTTCCCCTTCCCCTCTCCCCACCCATTCACTTAGGCTTCAAGTGCCTCACCGCAGCCTTGCCGCCACCTTTATTGGGCACTCAGCCCTGAGGCTCTACACACACGCGCTGGGGGATGGGAGGGGATGGGGTGTCACTTGGGGCAGGGACCCTCTGGCAGGAGGAGGGGTGGCTGGTGATAGAGCATGGCCCTGGGGACCGGCACCTGGGCCCCCGGACTGCTCGGTGATCCTCGCAGCTGACCTGGTGGAAGGGCGTGTAGAATCGTGACCTGGGCCACCCGAGGGTGAACTGGTTCCCCCAGTTCTGGGCTCACTTGGGGGCATTAAAGGGCACGGCCCGCTGGTTCATGGGGTTGTCGGGGGAGCGGAGCCACTCCTTCTTGAGCAGCTGTTTCAGCTGTGACAGCCGCATGTTGGGATTTTCTTGTTTGAGCCGCGGCAGCTGGGCTTCCTCAAAGGCTGTGAAGGCTGCCCGCATGCGTCTTTCTGGGTGCCGATCGGCCGCCTCCTCCGCCACGCTGGGGGTGGACATGCGTGTCAGGGGGCCCTGGGTGAGCCTCGCTCCAAAAAGCCCGGCCGGCTCCCCGGTAGCCCCACCCCACCCCTTGGAGGCCTCAGGCCCCGCCCCCAGAGGCCCAGCTCCACCCCTGGGAGGCCCCAGGCCCCGCCCCCAGAGGCCCAGCTCCACCCCTGGGAGGCCCCAGGCCCCGCCCCCAGAGGCCCAGCCCACCCCTGGGAGGCCCCGGGCCTCGCCCAGTTACCTGAGCACCGCGATGGCGTCCTCGATGGTGCGCGCCTCCACGCTGCCCTCCTCCAGCACGCGGCGGTTCACGTTCTCCTCCAGCGGCACCTCCAGATGGCTCTTGGCTTTCTCGGCTGGGCGGGTGGGTGGGTGACAGAGACAGAGATAAGCAAAGATGCACAGTTCCAAGGAGATGAGACCGAGACTGGCAGGCGAAGCTAGGGGCGGAGGGAGGCAGGAAAGGTGCTGGAGGGGGATGGAATCCCGCCTTGAGCTGAGAAGCCCTCTTCGGACAGTTTCCAACCCCCCAGCGCCCAGCTCCCTGCCTTACTTCCTGCAGCCCTGCTAACAAGAGCACCCCGGGTGGGGGCGGGCACAAGCCCAGCGGTTGTCTGTGCTCACAGCCAGGCCTGCCAGGAGGCTACCGACCCACCCACCCTGCACCACTTAGAGCTTCTCTGGGGACCAGGAGGGGGCTAATGGACTGGAGGCCCGCTGCCTCTGCAGTGGGCAAAAGTGCAGCTCCAGAGAGAGATGCGGCCCCACCTGCATCGGGGGCCTCCCTGAGCTGATGGTCTCGGCGCAGGGTGTCCTCGATCTGGGCCCGGGTGACCTTGCTGGACGTGGCCACTCGCGGCGCCTTGCCGCCCTTGAGCTTGGAGTCCTCCTCCTCCAGCAGGCGCTGCGTCTCCTTCTTACGTTCCAGCTGGTCCAGACGCCGCTTCTCCTTCTCCTCCTGCGGGGGCCACATGCGTGGTCAGGCAGAGGACCCCACCCCCGCGGCACCTACCAGCCTGGGGTTCGAGTTTTCATCTCAGCCAATGAGGATTTAGGCCTTGTGCTGAGTGCAGGGGACACCCAGGAACAAGATGGGTCCCGGTGCTGCCCTGGGCGAGGGATAGGGGGGCCAACAGGGAAACCTTGGACAGGACGGGTATGGATGGCTCTTGAAGCAGTGACAATCCCAGGTCAGAAGCGGGCCGGCCAAGGGGGAGAAAAGCTGGGGGACAGGAGTGTCCTTAGCGGTGGAGCCCACCGTCCTTAGCCAAGGCGCTGGAGCAGGAGCCATTTGTTCTAACAGGAACAGCTGGGAGGCTGCAGTGGGCCTGAAGGGGAGTGGGAGGGGAAGAGGCCGGGCGGTAGAGGGCCGGGCGGTCAGGAGCCTCTGGGGGCCAGGGCGGGGTTCATGTTGGATTCCAAGAGTCGTAGGAGGCCTGGACCGGTTTCAGGTTGGGGCAGGGGCTCTGCCCTTATGAGTCAGGTGGGCAGTACCGTCCACCTGTCCCCCCTGTGGTTCACTGAGGCTGAAACTGATCGCACATCAGCTGCCTAGGGAGGCCCTGACGCCGGCAGGATGAGGGACATCTGGGCTCCAGGACTTGCCCTTGCCCTGCCCTCCACCTACCCCAGGGGGCCCAGCGAGCCTGTGATTTATATATAGTGCTGCTGGAGGCTCAGGGCGGTACTCTGCCCGCTGCCTGGCACTCCCGCAGGGCCCTGCCCTCCGACACCATTGCCTGAGACTCCGTCCTCTGACTCTTACACCTTCAGGCCCCCCAGGGATGATCCCCACACCAGCAGTGCCCCCCTGGAACACTACTGCTGCATCTCCAGATAAATCTGGCAGAAGGAAATGTCCCAGAATGGGGATGGACACGCCGAAGGACACTGCCAGGGCCTGACCCCCACCGCCACCTGCACAGCAGGAAAGTGGAGGAGGGGCTTAAAGTCAAGGCTGTTGGAGCGCACAAGCTGGGCTCCCACTGCTGTGCTGAGGAGCCTCAGTTTCCCCCTCAGAGGCAGCAACATCCTGAGGCTACCCGACCCACGCTGGCACACACACATTCTGCCTCAGACAGGGCCCTGCCTGAGGCCCTTTTGTTCTGTTTTTTTCTTTTTTTTTTTTTTTTTGGGACGGAGTTTTGCTCTTGTTACCCAGGCTGGAGTGCAATGGCGCGATCTCGGCTCACTGCAACCTCCGCTTCCTGGGTTCAGGCAATTCTCCTGCCTCAGCCTCCTGAGTAGCTGGGATTACAGGCATGCACCACCATGCCCAGCTAATTTTTTGTATTTTTAGTAGAGACGGGGTTTCACCGTGTTGACCAGGATGGTCTCGATCTCTTGACCTCGTGATCCACCCGCCTTGGCCTCCCAAAGTGCTGGGATTACAGGCTTGAGCCACCGGGCCCGGCCTTTTTTTTTTTTTTTTTTTGAGACAGAGTCTTGCTCTGTCGCTCAGGCTGGAGTGCAGTGGTGTGATCTCAGCTCGCTGCAACCTCCACCTCCTGGTTTCAAGCGATTCTCCTGACTCAGCCTCCCAAGTAGCTGGGATTACAGGCGAGTACCATCACCCCTGGCTAATTTTTGTATTTTTAGTAGAGACGGGATTTCACCATGTTGGTCAGGCTGGTCTTGCTGGAACTTGGGACCTTGTGATCCACCCTCCTCGGCCTCCCAAAGTCTTGGGATTACAGGCATGAGCCACCTCACCCAGCTGTTTTCTTTCTTTTTTTTTTTTTTTCCCTTAAGACAAAGTCTCCCTCTCTGTTGCCCAGGCTGGAGTGCAGTGGTGGGATCTCAACTCACCAAAACCTTTGCCTCCCAGGTTCAAGCAATTCTCATCCCTCAGCCTCCCAAGTAGCTTAGATTACAGGTGAGCACCACCACACCTGGCTAACCTTTTGTAATTTTAGTAGAGATGGGGTTTTACCATGTTGCCCAGACTGGTCTTGAACGCCCAACCTCAAGTGATCTGTCTACCTTGGCCTCCCAAAGTGCTGGGATTACATGTATGAGCCACTGTGCCTGGCCAGTGCATGATGTTTGAAGTGAGGAGAGGCGTCACTGGTAGAGGACTGCCTGGGAGGGGTACCAGGGAAACTCATGGGGGCTGAGAATGTTCTAGAGAGCAGGGGTTGACAAACTGGAGCCAACTGCCTGCTTTGCTAAAGTTTTATGAGAATGCAGCCACGCCTATTTGCAAACCACCTGTCAGTGGTGGCCTTTGCGCTCAATGACGGGCTCTGGTGGTTTCCCGTCTGGCCCCTACATGAAACCTGTGATTCACCACCTGGCCCCTACTGACTGTACACCCTGCTCCATACCTTCTCCCGGATACGGGTGGCACAAGTGTGCTCACAGGTATCTTCTCTCTGATGACATTCCTAAGACAGGCACTCTTTGCTATAAATATACCTTCTGGATTCTTTAAATTCAGTCCTTCAAAGAAACTAAACAGGCCAGAGGTGTTGGCTTATGCCGGTAATTCTAGCACTTTGGGAAGCCAAGGCGGGCGGATCGCTTGAGGACAGGAGTTCGAGACCAGCCTGGCGAACATGGTGAAATCCCATCTCTACTAAAAATACAAAAAGTAGCTGGGCGTGGTGCCACCAAGTTACCTGGGAGGCTGAGGCGCAAGAATCGCTTGAACCTGGAAGGCAGAGTTTGCAGTGAACGAAGATCATGCCACTGTACTCCAGCCTTGGTGACAGACTGTCTCAAAAACAAAAAACAAAGGTCAGGTGTGGTGGCTCATACCTGTAATCCCAGCATTTTGGGAGGCTGAGGTGGGCAGATCACTTGTAGCCAGGAGTTTGAGACCAGCCTGGCCAACATGGTGAAACCCCATCTCTACTAAAAATACAAAAATCAGCCGGCGTGGTGGTGGACACATGTAATCCCAGCTACTCGGGAGGCTGAGGCAGGAGACTCATTTGAACTTGGGAGGCATGGCTGGGCATGGTGGCTCATGCCTGTAATCCCAGCACTTTGGGAGACCAAGGCAGGCAGATCACGAGGTCAGGAGATCAAGACCAGCCTGGCCAACAAGGTGAAACCATCTCTACTAAAAATACAAAAATTAGCTGGGCGTGGTGGTGTGTGCCTGTAATCCCAGCTACTGAGGAGGCCGAGGCAGGAGAATTGCTTGAACCCAGGAGGCGGAGGTTGTCGTGAGCCCAGATCATGCCATGCACTCCAGCCTCGCAACAGGGCAAGACTCTGTCTCAAGAAACAAAGAAACAAACAGACAAAACCTGGGAGGCAGAGGTTGCAGTGAGCCAAGGTCACATCACTGCACTCAAGCCTGAGTGACAAGTGTGAAAGTCTGCCTCAAAACAAACAAACAAACAAAAAAAAACAGCCAGGCGCAGTGGCTCATGCCTGTAATCCCAGCACTTTGGGAGGCCGAGGCAGGTGGACTACCTGAGGTTGGGAGTTCGAGACCAGCCTGACTAACATGGTGAAACCCCATCTCAAAAAAAAACAAAAAACAAAAAAAAGGTGACAGGAAAAGCAGGTAGAAATGTCCACATTCCCCCAATAGCTGGGCATGATGTCAGGATAGCAGCCCCTAAGCTGGGGGGTGCAGGTGGGGGGACCGGTGTCTCAGCTACCCAGGGAGTGAAAACCAGGAGCTATGGCTACGATGAGTCACTGGCGCCACCTACTGGGCCAAGCAGGTCAGCATCGGCCCTCAACCACTCCCCAGACACCAATTAAGCGTGTACTGTGTGCATGTGGCCCTGGGCTTTTTGACCGATTTTGAGTCACAGTTCGTTCTGTTGCCCAGGCTGGAATGCAGTAGCGCAATCATAGCTCACTGCAGCCCTGAACTCCCAGACTCAAGTGATCCTCTTGCCTCAGCCTTCCAAGTAGCCAGGACCACAGGCACGTACTAGCATGCATGGCTAGTTTTTACATTTTTTTTGTGGGGATGGGGTCTTGGTATGTTGCCTGGGCTGGCCTCGAGCTCCTGCCCTCAAGCAGTTCTCTCACCTCAGCCTCCCAAAGTGCTGGGATTACAGGCGTGAGCCACCATGCTAAGCCTGTCTTTTAAAAAATAAAAACCTGGCCGGGCATGGTGGCTCACGCCTGCAATCCCAGCACTTTGGGAGGCTGAGGTGGGTAGATCACGAGGTCAGGAGTTCAAGACCAGCCTGGCCAACGTGGGTGAAATCCCATCTCTACTAAAAACTACAAAAATTAGCTGGGCGGCCGGGCACGGTGGCTCAAGCCTGTAATCCCAGCACTGTGGGAGGCCGAGGCGGGTGGATCACGAGGTCAAGAGATTGAGACCATCCTGGTCAACATGATGAAACCCCGTCTCTACTAAAAATACAAAAAATTAGCTGGGCATGGTGGCGCGTGCCTGTAATCCCAGCGACTCAGGAGGCTGGGGCGGGAGAATTGCCTGAACCCGGGAGGCGGAGGTTGTGGTGAGCCGAGATCGCGCCATTGCACTCCAGCCTGGGTAACAAGAGCTAAACTCCGTCTCAAAAAAAAAAAAAAAAAAAAAAAAAAAATTAGCTGGGCAAAGTGGCAGATGCCTATAATCCCAGCTACTGGGGAGGCTGAGGCAGGAGAACCACTTGACCTGGGGTGGCAGATTGTGACACTGCACTCCAGCTCGGGCGACAGAGTGAGACTCTATCTCAAAAAAATAAAAATAAAAATAAATAAACACCTGGAAGAAGCTGTGGACCTGGATCAGCAGGTGGGAATCAGGGGCCTGATCACAGTGTTTCTCGGTTTCAGCACTGCTGACGCATGGAGCTGGCTCATTCTTTGCTGTGGGGGCGTTCTCTGCATTCTAGGGTGTCAGCATCTCTGGCCTCCATCGGCTAGATGCCAGCAACACCCCCTCTCCCCGAGTTACGACAACCAAACACATCTCCAGGTGCTGCCAAGTGTCCCCAGGGGCAGAGTGACTCCACGGTCAGTGTGATCATCTAGCCCAGCCCTGGCATTCCTCAAAGGAGGAGCCAGTCCACAGAGGGCGGTGACCGCCTCACTGTCCACACACAAGCCAAGGCCTTGCCACCCGGCCTTTGAACACACCATTTCCTCTGCCTCCTTCCCCTCTGCCATCGCTAGTACCTCCTGGCGTTTTTTGGGTTTGTTTTGAGATGGTGTCTCACTCTGTCGTCCAGGCTGGAGGACAGTGGTGAAATCTTGGCTCATTGCAACCTCCACCCCCTGAGTTCAAGCAACTCTCCTGCCTCGGCCTCCCGAGTAGCTGGGGTTACAGGAGCCCCCGCCACCACACCTGGCTTATTTTCATATTTTGAGTAGAGTCAGGGTTTCACCATGTTGGCCATGCTGGTCTCAAACTTCTGACCTCAGGTGATTGGCTCATCTCAGCCTCCCAAAGTGCTGGGATTACAGGCATGAGCCACTGCACCTGGCCTTTTTTTTTTTTTGAGATGGAATCTCGCTCTGCTGCCCATGCTGGAGTACAGCGGGGAGACCTCGGCTCACTGCGATCTGCACCTCCTAGTTCACGCGATTCTCCTGCGAACCTCCAGAGTAGCTGGGATTATACGCGCAGTTACTTTATTATTGTGAGACTAAGTCTCACACTCTCGCCGGGGCTGGAGTGCAGCGGCATGATCTGGGCTCACGGCAACCTCCGCCTCCTGGGTTCCATCTATTCTCCTTGCCTCGGCCTCCCAAGTATCTGGAATTACAGGCGTGCGCCACCACGCCCAGCTAATTTTTTGTATTTTCAGTAGAGACAAGGTTTCACTATGTTGGCCAGGCTGCTCCTGAACTGACCTGGTGATCTGCCTGCCTTGGCCTTCCAAATATTTTTGTGGTTTGAGTAGAGAGATGGGGTTTCGGCTGGGCGCGGTGGCTCACGCCTGTAATCCCAGATACTTGAGAGGCCGAGGCGGGCGGATCACCTGAGGTCAGAAGTTCGAGACCAGTCTGGCCAGCATGGTGAAACCCGTATCTATTTTTTTTAAAAAAGTGCTGCAATGACAGGCGTGCGCCACCATGCTCAGCCCCTCCTGGCCTTTCAGACAAAAGCTGAGAGGGGCCTCTTGCTATTCACCCGTATTGACATAGGGGCCACAGGCTCACCCACGCGTACGTGGGCCACGGGAGCTGGGGGCGCCTCTTGCTATTCACCCACATTGACATAGGGGCCACGGGCCCACCCACGCGCACGCGGGCCACGGGGGCTCGGTGCGCACGCACCTTGCGCTGCTCCTTCCTCATGACGTGTTTGTCGTCGTCCTTCCAGTAGGCATCCTCGAGCTCCTTCTGCTTCCTGGCATCAGCGGCCGCCTTGGCCTCTGCCCTCCGTGCCCGGGCCGCTGCCGACTTGGTGTTCTCACCCTGGAACTTCTTGGGCATCCCTCAGCAGGCTGTGGGAAGAGGACGAGGGCCGGGGAGCAGGGGCTGGTGGGGACAACGGCACTCAGCACCCCCAGACTCACACCTGGGCAGCCAGGACCCTGCTGGGGCCTCCGTGGCCTTCTCTGTATAAAACAAGGGCTTTGGACTTAAGTGTTCTTGTAAAAGTTTATTAAGGCAAAATTCGTATCATGACACCAAATAAACCCATTTAGGCTGGGCGCGGTGGCTCTTACCAGTAATGCCGGCACTTTGGGAGGCCGAGGCAGGAGGATCACTTGAGGTCAGGAGTTCGAGACCAGCCTGTCCAACACGGCAAAACCCCGTCTCCACTAAAAATACAAAAATTAGCTGGGGGTGGTGGTGTGCGCTTGTAGTCCTGGCTACTCAGGAGGCTGGGGCAGGAGAATCACTTGAACCCAGGAGGTGGAGGTTGAAGTGAGCCAAGATCATGCCACTGCACTCCAGCCTGGGCGACAGAGCAAGACTCGGTCTCAGTGAAAAAAACAAAAAAAACAATTTAAAGATAGAGAATTCGGGCCAGGCACAGTGGCTCACGCCTGTAATCCCAGCACTTTTGGAGACCGAGGCAGGCAGGTCACTTGAGGTCCAGCCTGGCCAACATGGCAAAACTCCGTCTACACTAAAAATACAAAAATTAGCTGGGCATGGTGGCATATGCCTGCAATCCCAGCTACTCAGGAGGCTGAGGCAGGAGAATTGCCTGAACCCAGGAGGCGGAGGTTGCAATGAGCCGAGATCACACCACTGCACTCCAGCCTGGGTGACAGAGTAAGACTCCATCTCAAAAAGAAAAAGTGTCTTTTAAGTATATTCACAGTGTGGTACAAATGCCACCTCTGTCTGGTTCCAGAACACTTGTATCCCCCCAAAAGAAGCCCCATCGCCATCAGTAGTCAGTCCATATTCCTCCTCCCCTGGCCCCGGGCAAGCACCAATGTGCTTTCTGTCTCTGTGGGTTTGCCTGTTCTGGACATCTCATATCACTAGAATGATAGGCCAGGTGCGACAGCTCATGCTTGTAATCCCATTGCTTTGGGAGGGTGAGGGAGGAGGACGGCTTGAGGCTAGGAGTTCAAGACCAGTCTGGGCAACATAGCAAGACTCCATCTCTACAAAATAAAAACATTAGGCACAGTGGCTTGTGCCCGTAGTTCCAGCTACTTAGGGAGCTGAGGTGGGAGGATCGCCTGGGCGTAGGAGGCTGAGGCTACCATCAGCTGACTGAACCACTGCACTCGAGCCTGGGCCACAAAACGACCTCCTTTTTT